GGAGAAACTCTTCATCTTTTATGACCCCTGCTCGTAAGTATGGTACCGTACGGTACGTAGTACATTATTTTACGAATGAAAGTACCGTACTGTATTAAGTAGAAAATACTACTGTACATAAATACGAGTACTCGTACGGACTGAGAAGTGATACTGAAATAGTGGGCTAGCGGTAGGAGGTACGTACTTTACGTATCGAGTCGTTATTGGAATAAGCGGTAAGTGCCGGTAGGAACCTGAAGATGATTTTAAAAAAGGTTGAAACGTGCACCCACCCCAAATGCCCAAAAGCTTGAAAATTCTCTGTGATCGCGTCGCCATCCATCCATTTTTATCTTCTACATTTTTCATTCGGTCATCTGTGTGTTGCAAATTGCAGACATAATAAAAAATGAACAAACATCAGAATTTTCTTGAAGTTGATCGGATGACCACGTAATTTATGTGAAGTTACCGACCAATCATGTGGCCCGAAGGAAGTGACGAAGAAACGACGTGTAACTTCAGTACTTGGTTGATATGGTAGGTCAGTCCACCGTACTATAGAAAGTACGTAACAGGATGATGATGGCACCAAGAAGTTATTTTCACTTGTCCTAAGCATAGACACGGACTGCTGCACAGCATTCTGTGGAATAACTACGAAGTAGTTCTCTGTGCAACAGCAACATCATTCGTTCACTTGTGCAACCACATTTCGACGCAGCATTGGTGCAGATGCTGTCTTTGTCGGTGTCCTAAATCAAGACACGTTTTACCGAAGASRAAAACAGACATACAATGACAACCATAACGAATGCTTTTACATCTTTCCCCGACATAAATAGCATTGAATTGAACCACATACCAAGCCACGAAGTGCAATCAACTATTTGTCATCCTCACGTTCTATCATCAAGTACTGTTTCCACCATGTTACCGGGCGACAACGGAAACGGGAATGACCACGGAAAGGATTCTGATAGTGTTGGCAGCAGCAGCACTATTGGTTGCTTCGATCTCTTACCTCAGGTCGCTTTCTCTCCGAACCGATTGGCATCGAAAGTTGCCTCAACTTCCACCGTCCAAACCGGCATGGATTTAAAGACGATCAGTGTTAGCCAACCAACTTCGCCCATTTTCTCAACTCCGGTAGGGGGTAGCAAGGATTCCTTCACACCTCCTCCTCCGATGACCAAGAATGTCCACTCCCTCGATCGCGAAATGCGCTCCAGGAAAAGAAGACGGAGAAACATTAGCGGTTGCGWGGACGATTACTCACTCCTCGACTGCCCCCAACTTATCAYGTCTCTCAACATTGAACGAATCAGTCTCCCCCCCCTATCAACCCTCGAGGATTGCGTACACGTCGGCGAGGSCTGTCTTCCCGATACATCTTTTCTTGCCCGAAAGAAATCAAAGAGGCTGCGGAGAGGCCTTGTCATCTGATGACGACGAAATTTGGCTTCGTAGTACAAAATCAAGCTAATTTATTTTTTGGCCACCAAGCAAAGAACCGCCATTAATTCAACCGCATGCTACGGGAAGGGGTCAGCGTTGTGTCGTTTTGTTCAATATTGAAGGACAGGGTCTGGATCTAATTGAATTCTCCGAGGTATGGAACKCGAACGAACGCATCAATCCTTATCATTGATCRCAATACGCAACAGAGAAAACAATTTGGCGTTTTCCGCATGATAATCAAGATTCATTCGTTTCACCGTCCCATCCATTTGAATCCCAACGATCGCAATCAATCAATCAAAATATATGTACCAAAAAATTGTAAATACGTTCCAATCCATTGATGAATACTTGTCCGACTTTTCCAACCAAAAGGAAGAAAACTGTGTTGTTGTAAATTTGTCCAACTGTAACTCCATAATCAACTGTCAGTAACTCAACTGTAATTAAAATCATTTACAACGAAATGGCCCATTACTATTATTGAACTATATCATCGCAGCCCTACTGCACGGGATGATGAATTAGTGGACAGAGCAGAAATATGGTAACATTTTTCCACTGATTGGGTTTAGTAAACAGAAGAATGTGGTTCTCATGTTTGCTGAATTTCCTGATTATTCTTCCCCWTGTTTWTTAAATCAAGAAAGTCATTCATATTTTTGTTTTGCACATACTGCAAGAAGATTGACCCTTGTGRCAATGGTCTGTCTGTAATTCAACATGCTCCTCTAAACTTTTGCCATCACCCACTGATAAGATTCTATGGTTTTGTGAAGAATTCTGTGACYATTTCTTCATTTAGATACCAATAAYGTTGTACCTTTAATTTTTTCCAATTCATGTCAGCCTTTGATAATGATACTTCATTGGACATTAATGTGCTTCTCTTCACTTCTCTTTGCTGCTTAGAAAAAATGTTGGGTTCCCAACTAGAATCTAAGCCAGTCTTTGAGGAATGTGGAATCATAAATAAATTAACCAATAAAAACTAATAATGTGCCAGTACTACTAGTACTAGTTTGCTGGCAGGCAACTAAAATTATTATTTAGATTTAGATAATCTAAAAGTGGGTCTGAGGTGGTGTATCCTAAATAATCTTAAAATTGGATATGTAATCTATTTTTCCCTGTTTGTCTGTCAAAAGCAATTGTCTACTATAATAACAGGAATGACCCATTACTATGAATCCACTAATAGTTTCCCACACTTATCAAATGGTTCCCATCGTTAATTTAATGATCCCATCCTTCATTTTTCAAATACAAATTGTACAGATTTCTACACAATGGTTTTGCTCTCCATTTTCAACATGATCATTGACAAATGACTCACCTGACGAGAAAGAAGCAGCTACCGTGCACAGTGGTGCACGTGCTATTTGGCTTGAATTTTTGTATCCCACAAGTTGAGTCTTGTGCCCGTTTGTTCACCACCACGATGGCAGAAGAAGACAAATGGCTTCTCGATGATCTCAGTGCCCCTGCCGCAGTCATGTACTTCAAATGATGACTTCAAATGGCCCATGAGCTCCTTGCTGGAGCTGCAACCATACCCACCGTGGTCATGGCGGCCATTTAATGAGAGTGCCTCGGATTAGATGCTCCAAATGTCGAAGTTGTCACTCCTGTTTTCTCCAATGTTGCCATACGATTGAACACGTCGTTGTTGGATGTTTGAATTGGGCAAGCTTGAATGAGTCAAATCTAGTGTTCTCTATCTATTCTCCATTCATCTTTCAAAATTTAAGCTCTCTTCCTAGCTCTGATAATCATGGCCCTCGTGCCGGAAGTCACTCATCTTACAATCTTTCAGTTTGCTTCAGCTTGACGCTTCCAGTTGTTCGTTCCTCCTGATAAGCATCATATCTTTAGACCTCCGCTTCATCAACCAATCTACATTTATCACACTGATTTAGCTCGCCATTTCGCCTCGCATGCTTCTACTGCACGCTGGGCGTGAATCACACTTTCTCTGTTTCAACAGTTGCGTACGGTATGGCACAACAGCCGAGAAGAAAACAGGCAGGCCTTTGTGTTGCGTTCTACAGTACGTGTGTTATGAACCTAATGTCGTTTTTAAGTGAGTGTTTACTGATCGTGTTGTCACTATCACAGTCCGTGCCCGGACAAGAATTCGTTGCAGGCAGCCGCAAACTCCTCCGGCATTTGGTTGACGAGGTTGAGGGTCGACCTTTCCCCCCCGAGTGTCACGACCTCGAGACCGCCGTTGCTTCCAAACATCCTGCAAGCCTGCTCGAAGCGCTCCGTCCCGTCGAGGCCAAAGGCATCAAACAGGGTGGCACAGGCGGCTCCCTTGAGGCAGAGAAACCGACACGGTCGGCCTTTTTCGTCGTCGCCGCTTTCCTTGTTGCGGTGGATCCGTTCCACCGCGGCCACAAAGTTATAGTCGTTGCCGCCCTCGATGCTGATCCCTTTGGCGTAGCGGACCCGCCGGTTTGAGAGGTACTCGATCTCGGAGCGGACTACCCGCAGGTTGAGCTCGTTGTCCAGCCAGGTGCTCCGCTTCGCGTGGAGTCCCGCCAGGTGCGATCCATCGTCCTCCAGCACAAAGGAATCCGGGATGGATCCGTTGCCTCCAGAAGCGGTCATTCCTCTGGCTCCGGGATTGAACCACGGGTTTGCCAGGATCCCCGCCCGGATCGCTCCGGGGTGCCGCGCGGCAAGAGAGAGGCAGAAATAGTTGCCGAGGAGCGATCCGATGGCGACGTAGTCGTGCCCCCGCTGGTGTTGGTTTTGGTCTGTGGTGGTGGCGTCATCGCTGGCGCTCGTCGCGAGAGCGGCACCCCTTTCCAGTATGGAATCGGCGGCTTGCAGGCAGGCATCGGACAGCTCGTCGATGGTGCAGGACCTGGGCGGGTTCTCGCTCGCTCCGTAACCGGGAATGTCAAAGGCAATGACCGCGCGTCCCCCCTCGTTGCTGCTGCCGGCCCCGGCTCCCCCCGACGCCAGGAGCGGGAGCACCTCGGAAAACTCGTCGGACGACCGGGGGGACATGTGGAAACACAAAACCGGTGGCCTTCGGTGTTCGTTGGCAGCGGTGTCGGTGGCGCTCCTCCCGTCGCTGATCAGATAGAAGACGGCACCTAGGGCGGTTTGGATCATACCGCGATGGGTCACGGGAAGCTTCATTTTGTGCCCACTTCCGTTGGTTGGTGGCTTCTCTGGTCACGTTGGGTCGGCGCCTGTGGCGTCTTGTTGCAATGCAAGGTTGCACTGACGATGCTGGTATTGGGCCATTCCCGAAAACATCGGAAGTCGAACCAGACCTTATTTTTACTGTTCTTTGTACGTATTGGGTGATTCCCGGTTTTCGGGAATACGTTTCAGTGGTACAGAAGACACAGACTGCCAGCTCAACTTACATATTTTCCCCCCATTTTCGGAATTTGGAATCCTATAAATTGCATGCAATTTGACAAAATTCCAATGTGGGGGGAACTTTGGGATTTTCACTAAACCTCTCCTCCCTAGACTGGAAGTGTTGAGTCAAGGATTCCGAACAAAAAATATGTAAATTACACAGATTCTGGTTGTCGTGGGCCCACGACAACCAAAATCTATGTAATTTACATATTTTTTCGAGCCGGCCGGTCTCATTTTTACATATAAATATGTTTGCGGGAATCACCCATTGTTGGAAACAAATCAAGTGAGTACGTACTACTCTCAGTATGACGGTATTGATATTGATATTGATATTGATATTGATATTGATA